TGGTGCATCTGGCTCCTCAAATCATAGAAGTTATTCTAGATGGTACTATAATTGCTTCCAGGTGCTTATGTGGCTATACTCATTGTAGCCTATGAGACATCTCACTGCACTTGCAGCTGCAAACATCATCAAACTTCAACCGAACTTCCATGAAACACACAGAATAAGTAGATGACTTACCCTCTTTCCCATTCTGAAAGTTACTACTTCCAAATGATTTTTTTCAATCTCACTAGGGAAAAGTAAGGCCTTCCATGGAAATTTAAACATAATTGTATTTATTAATCCCAACAACCAAACAAAGCAAAAGAAGGTCAAATTTCTAGGAAACTTGAAGATGGTATAGAAAAAGAATATAATTAAGACCCAGGTTAGGAGGTCCCAAACACTGCTTAAGCATTCTCTTGGGTTCTACTTTTGTGCAAAATAATAACGGCTACCTGAATACACATAGCTGGCACTCGAGAATGTCTGCTGAATGAACTGCTCTACCCAACACATAGTACGAGAACTATCATGGTAAAAAACAAGAAAAGATGGTGATGAAAGAATTCTTTAAGAACCATTTCCTTCAGGCTACTTTTGTAAAACTTCTACTTCAGCTCTACTAATCTGCAATTTATGGTCTTTCAAGTTGAAGTTATAGTCCATGCTTTTAAAAGGTTGTATGATTAATAATAACAGTAGTTATCAAGCACTTATAGTATATAGGAAAAGTGTTTTTATGTAATAGTCCATTTAATCATTAAACCGATTTTATCAGACAGAAACCATTATCCTTATTTCCAGATGAAGAAATTAAAGACATAAAGTAACTTGTATGATATTACACTGCTAGTAAGGGAAAAAACTGGACTTGTAAGGAAAGTCTATCTCAATTTAAAACTTCATTTTCAGCCTTAAACAGTACAAAGAAAGAATATTAACTAGTATTTCACAGCCTCTTAGAATTGAATATAAAATAAAATAATTTGTTGTCTGTACAGCTGACCATTGATCAACACTGGTTTGAGCTGTGCAGATCCACGAACATGCAGATTTTTTTCTCAGTAGTAAATACTACAGTACCTCATGATCCGAGATTGGTTCAATCCATGGATGCAGGACCACAGATACAGAAGACCCATGTTTACAGAGGGCTGGCTAAAAGTAAAATGTGAATTTTTGACTGCAGGAAGGAACTATGTCTATAACCCCTGTGATGTTCAAGGGTCAAATGTATTACATACTTTTTAATATATACTGAAATAATTAACTTACTAATTAACACTCTATTTCATTAAAGCAAGTCCCTTCCTCTGCTGACTATATCATTAACCTACTCTAGTTACTCTCTGTATTTAACCATAATAAAACACAATTTTTACAAAAATAAACCTGTAATTCACCTTTACCTAAGGTTATCCTCAATCCTCAGCCCAAATTTCTGAAAACTTACCATTCCTTGGTGGCTCAGATGGTAAGGCGTCTGCCTACAATGCGGGAGACCCAGGTTCAATCCCTGGGTTGGGAAGATCTCCTGGAGAAGGCAATGGCAACCCACTCCAGTACTCTTGCCTGGAAAATCCCATGGACAGAGAAGCCTGGTAGGCTACAGTCCATGGGGTCACAGAGTTGGATACAACTGAGCGACTTCACTTTCACTTTACCCTATTTTAATAAAAAGCAAATGACTTTATAACTTAGTAATATAGGCTCTTACTATGGAACAAATTCACACACACACTCTGAGCATGTAAATTTTCTCTATCTCATCTTTTTGCTAAACTTTGGCTAAAAGTTGGCTACTGCTGTCAATATTATTTATCATAGCCTACAGATGCTTCTTTTCAGTATATGCTTTCCATTCAAGCTGCAGAGAATAGGACACAATGATGAATTTTTAAAAGCACAGTTAGGCAGACAATGACTCTATATAGATAATAATCATAATAATTCAGCTTCAAATGTCTTCCTACCGTATTTCTTTTGCTTTGCTTTCAGTATCTACAGCCTTTGCTTTTAACTGAGGAAATTCATTGTCAATATATCTATTCTAAAAGAAATGTTAAAGGAAGTTCTTCAAAGAGGAAGAATCTGCTATCAGACTCTTGGATGTATACAGATAAATAAAAGTGCTGGCAATGTAATAAGTAAAGGTAAAATAAAATGTGTGTGTGCTGTGTGTGCTAAGCTGCTTCAGTTGTGTCTGACTCTGTGCAACCCTATAGACTGTAGCCTGCCAGGCTCCTCTGTCCATGGTATTCTCTAAGCAAGAATACTGTGGTGGGCTGCACTGCCCTCCTCCAGGGGATCTTCCCTACCCAGGGATTGAACCTGTATCTCTTTCATCTCCTGCATTGCCAGGCGGGTTCCTTACCACTAGTACCACCTGGGAAGCCCAAATAAAGTGCACCTTTTTCTTATTTGTAATTGTTCTGAAAGCTAAATGACTATTTAAAGCAAAAGTTGTTTACAGAATATTTAAAAATATGTCTGACAATAATAACACAAAGGATTGGGGAGGATTAAACAATACTACACATGAAGAGGGATACTATTATTTGAAGGTAAAGTAATTAAGGATATATATTGAATATTCTGAGCTTCCCTGATAGCTCAGTTGGTAAACAATCTGCCTGCAGGGCAGGAGACCCCAGTTTGATTCCTGGGTCAGGAAGATCCACTGGAGAAGGGATAGGCCACCCAGTCCAAAATTCTAAAGAAACAACTAAAAATATAATACATGAATATAGAATATGTATAATAAGTCAATAAGTGAGATAAAATGGAATAATAAGCAATCAATTAACCAAGGAAGAAAAAGAGGAGAAAAAAGAAGCAACAGATTGAACAAATATGACACTCATGTGATGAATGAAAAATGTGGGACAGAACAACTGTGAGTGTCTTATCATCTGGAACATTCTATGAATCTGGGAGCTGCTTCCTTGGCTTGGAAGACTTTCCAATGTTAATGAGGCCTTTGATATAGAAACTCTTAATAAAATCTCTTTAACTAGCATAGCGCTGATTAAAAAAAAATCTTTGCTTTTTAATATAATTATACCTCCCCAAAAAGAAAATACTACTATAATGTAATGCCTTACATATTGTAAGATCATTGAGAGAAACAAATTGTAAGATCATTCACTACATGAACATGTTGATCATATGAAACTTAGCCAGTGACAGATAATAGCAAACAATATCCAGATAAATGTTCACCTCTAATCACTTAATTTTACACATATATAATATTCTGTGTGACTGAATACTCTATTACATGATCTCATTCTCAGAGTATTAGTAATATAAATACAAGAAAAGGGTTAAGCCAAAAGTAAAAATATTCTTTTGATTTTCATGCTCTTAAATCTCAAACATAACACTGTAACAGTTTTTTGCATAAATTCATATAACTTATGTAAATGTTTTTAAAACTCAGAATGGCATCACCAGCATAGTCCAACAGCCCATCTAGTCTGACATCCTGACAGTGACCAATGATGGAGGCCTCAAAGGATAGCATAAACACATAACATAATGTATATAAGTGTGCACCACCACACCATTACTCCAGATGTAGTTAGATTATGTCCTGAAAGAAATGAAAACAAATCCCAACTCCCATCACTTCCCTACTCTGTAATTTCCCAAAAGGTGATAGGAAACCTCCAGTAAAGCACAAATTTAACTATAATATATGCCAATGCTTTGGTGACATGACAAATGACTAACAAATGATCTTCTAAAATGAAAAGCTGTACTCAGAAATAGAACCTAAACTCATCAAAACTTATGATTTTAAAATGAGTTTTCAATGAAAAGCATCTGATTCACTTAGTTAGATCTATAAAATAAATGAGCAAAATTTAATTAAAGCTTAATAAAACTGTTTTCATCCATTTTGTGATATGTTATACTGTTTCTAGAAAGTAGTATAAAATTTATATTTTTAACTCTTCAGAGAAATTATATTCACACCTGTTTTGTAATGGTTTTAAAGCAAGGCTTGATTTATTAAATGTTCATCTAAGTGTGCAAAACCACATAATGAAGAAACCATGGTTTGGTCTTTCAGGAAGTACTATTTCCTAAACAATTATAAGCCCCCCAAAAAATGCACTATATTTTTAAAGACTTCTGGAGGAGATAATTCTCTTGGTAGTATACTTGGGTACTGATTTAACAACACTTATAGTCAGGAAACAGTTTCTGACCTGAATCCTCCATGGTATAATTTAAATTCATTTTCTTTTTCTCTGACCTCAAATAAGTTGTAGAAGATTGGGTTATATCATATCTATTTGAAAACTCTTATGAAGGTCTCCTTTTCCAGGGTAAATGCACTGCAGGACTATGAACCAAGTAACAATCCTGTAGTGAATTCAGTCTTATAATTCTTACATGCTGTATATCATAGCCCAAGAGACAGATTTCAAAAATTAACCATCATTTCTACGAAGCACCACTCCTTCCCCACAATAATATACTTTCTCAAAAAAAAAAAAGTTATAATGTAAAAACAAACCTCAAAAATTTAGAAAAAGAAAGTCTGTGAGCGATGAGGGCAAGGAATAATACACACAGAATTCCATGCAGACACTGCTTCCTTCCCTGGAACAGGGTACCATTTAATGAAATGTATCTCTCAAAATCTCTGGGGCAGAACTAAAGCTGCAGTGCAATATCATAAAAACCTGCAGCTGTGCTGCCGTTCTTAATAGTCCATGCTGCATCCTTAGACCACAGGAAGCCAAAACACACACACTGTCAGAACACAACTTACCTTAACAAGGAACTGGCCAAAGCAGCAGAGCAGTTACGACAGGTCAAGCATCAAAACTGTTACTGAAAAGACTGTCCACGTCATTATGAATTTTCTCAACCTGCTCACTCCAGAAAAGCTGCTTTTACAAAAAAGCTACTCGCGTTTCCAAACATCATTTCTTTTAGGGATAAAAACTATAGGATAAGCAGATAAATTTACTACATATAAATAAACATTTACAACTTACTTTTATTGCCCACCAAGGCAACCAGGGGCTGAGTTTCTGACTCCTCATTCACTTTCTTCACCACAGAATACCAATCTTCTAAATTCTCAAAGCTTTGATAATTTGTAACATCGTATACCAAGAGGACTCCCTGTCACAAGAGTTACAGAACATTTGTAATATACTACTTTAAAAAATATTAATATTAAATACTTATAAGTAATGCATACGTTGAGTATAAAAAATACATGCAAGGACTGTTTGTATCTGACTTTAATTCTGTTATTAGCAGACAGATAATACTGAATGTTTTCATTCAAGACGTTAAGATACAAAGCAAGATAAAGAATGATTATATCAAATTGTAAGTGGGTTCCCAATAAGATACCTGGGATATGCTTGATAAATTTCAATAAATGTTAAGAAAATCTTATTATAGAGGTGGGAAAAGCTGCAAGGTCTAAAATTCTGCCTGTCACTTTCATGAGGTCAAACATTTAAACTTTTTAATAAATAACCATCTGCTGCTGCTCTTTTAAAATATTTTCAAAAATGGAGATCCCATGACATCCCTTGATAGTCAATTTCAGCGTTTAACACAATTTTCTTTAAATGAAATAAGTTGATTTCCTCTTTCGGTCCTCTGTGCATTAGGAGAACAACATGAGAGTATCCTCCTTATAATAACCCTTCATGTACTTGAAGATAGTTAAGTAACTCCTTCACCATCTCCTTTCCAGAATAAACAAACTCAATTCCTTAAACTTGCCTCAAAGGACCTATTTTCTATCCTTTTAATCATAGTTGTTGGTTCTTCCCAAGGCATGCTACATATAGTTTTTTGACATCCTCTTTAAAATGAGCAATGTAAAACTGGACATGATACTGTAATAAGAGTCTGAACAAAGCCAAATATAACAGAGGGATTGCTTCCTGTCTCTTATATATCATATTCCTTTTAATACATCCCATTATTTTGTGTGGGAAGGAGAAGAAGTATGTACACACACAAAAATAACACTGCTACATTCTTGATTCTCATCCAATTTGTGGTCAAACACTTAATACAAAGCTCTGCATATATAAGTCTGGGCCCTAATGGAATTTATCTCTCCTTCTTCTTAAGTTACAATCATAAATGTTGACAACTTCTTACACCTATTATGTACCAGAGAGATATCTGGATCTTTTCATTCCTCCTCACAAAAAATCATGCAAGACTGTTATTATCCTCATTTTCACTAATAAACACAAGGTCACAGGGAGCCAGAATTTGAATCAAGGACTGAATATAAAGTCCACTCATTTACTCTATAAACATTTGTCAGTCAGCTATACGCCAGGCACTGTGCTGGGTACTAGGGACATAAATTCCAGCTTCAAGGAACTCACAGCCCTGCAACAAAGCCAGACAAACAGACAAGTATATAACATAAAACTCATCAGCAATGGTATGCTGGTAAATATTAATCAACCAGCTTGAGGCATGGTAAGGAGAAGAAAGGATGAGAGAGGGTTATTTGTAGCATTTGCCAATTTCTGTAGTGTAAATACTCTCCGGTGGTCATTCAAATCTATCAATGTCACTTTACCAAACAGAGCTGGGTAGGATATCACCACATAGCATTTCCACTATACAGGTACACTTGATACACTAGATATAAATAACATTAAGGGCACAAACAATAGAAATATATAGTAAAATAATCAGTAAGTGATACATTTTAATTATATAAATCTTTGTTTTTAATATAATTCATGAGTTTATATATATATTTTGTAATCACTAATGTATTCAACAATTGGCTCAAAAAAATTCCTAAAAATTTAACAGTTGACTCTCTCGATCCAGATCTAGCTCACTACCATTGTGACCTTGTAGTACTGTGCTCTTTTTTCCCCCAGTTTTATCATCAAATAGTTGACATACATCACTGTACAAGTTCAAGGCGTACAGCATGAAGGCTTAACTTACATATACTGCACACTCATTTGTTAAACTACATTGGCTCCCCCAAGTCACTTAGCTTCTCTGGGTCTCAGGTTATTTGCCTAAACACTCTCTATGATCCTTTTCAGTTTAATGACTCTATAATATTTATGCAAAATCATGTGTCTGATTTATTTTATTAACTTACAAACCTATTTCTATATTCCTAAATGCGTTGAAATAATGCTCAGCACAGAATTATTTGAAACAATAAACATAATTCCACTTTTCTTATTAAAAAATAATGTCCCAGAAACAGCCTCTGAACAAAGCTACTACTCAATCCACTGACTCCACCTTCAGTTGACATGAGTGATACAATGTATTATGCTTAAATAGCTCTGCCCTGTAAATCAGATCAGCTTTGGATTATAGTCCTGGCCCTACTAGCATCTACTGATTCTGGGGAATGCTTCTGTCGTCCACCTTTATAATATCTGCCATGATTAAGTGAAGTAATAAAACAGACTTATTTTAAAAGTAAGATACTACACAATCACTGGCAACTTTTTTATTGCTATTCAGAGTGAATACGAATCATTTTCAACGTAACTTTGAGGTAGCTTCACTCTCATCAACTGAGCTTTGACCTATCTGTTGTACAGTCACTAAGTCCAACTCTTTGTGACCCCATGAACTGCAGCACACCAGGCTTCCCTGCCCTTCACTATCTCCCAGAGTTTTCTCAAATTCATGTCTATTGAGTAGGTGATCCTATCTAACCATCTCAAACTCTGTGGCCCCCTTCTCCTCTTGTCCCGAAGCTTTCCCAGTGTCAGGGTCTTTTCCAATGAAATGCTCTTCGCCTTAGGTAGCCAAAGTTCGGAAGCTTCAGCTTCAGCATCAGTCTTTCCAACGAGTATTCAGGGCTGGTTTCCTTTACAATTGACTGGTTTGATATATTTGCAGTCCAAGGGACCCTCAAGAGTCTTCTCGAACACCACAATTCGAAAGCATCAATTCTTTGGCGTTCAGCCTTCTTTACTGTCCAACTCTCACATCTGTACGTGACTACTGGAAAAACCATAGCTTTGACTGTATGGACCTTTGTCAGCAAAGTGATGTCTCTGCTTTTTAACACACTGTCTACGTTTGTCAGCTTTCCTTCCGAGGAGCAAACATCTTTTAATTTCATGGCTGCAGTCACTATGTGCAGTAATTTTGACCTATGGTGCCTTTTAAACCTGAAAATTTGTAGAACTCTTCTAAGTAATATATTAAAATAGTCATCACAACATGGGTCAATATCTGAACATAATAGAATATATGCAAATAAAACATGGCCAGCATCTTTTGATAATCCGTACTAGACCAGAGCCAAAGGATAAAAATCAGTTATAGTTTTAGACTGATCTAGACTAGGAGTTGTAAACTATGGCCCCCAAGGTCAAATTCAGCTCATAGCCTATATTTGCGAATAAAGTTTTATTGAAGCATAGTCACACTCACTTGTTTAAGTTTTATCAATGGCTGCTTTTGTACTATGATGGCAGAGTTGTGTAGCCACAACAAAGAAAGTCTGACCTGTAAAACCTAAAATATTTCCTATCTAGTTCCTTAAGGAAGTTTGCCAATTTCTCATCTAAACTGATGTATCCCAATATTCTCCAATCAGCAATACCTATTAACTGGTCCAGGACTCGTAAGAAAGATAGAAAGATAAACACCTTTCCATTAATCTAGCAACCCAAATATCTATCGGTTCATATATTCCTTTTTCAGTCACTAACGAAAAATTATGACTTTTATCTTTGCTCCTAGCACGACAACTTTGCACCAGTTCTGAATTACAACAATGTGGTGAAAAACTGAGAAAGGAAAATGAGAAAGCCAAAGACAGTAAAGCAAAAGAAGTTCTAGGACTTTCAGTTTGAACTCAGACATGTAAAGAGTTTGGAAGTCAGCACATTTGTCCTTACATTAAGAAAAAAAGTTGGACAAACAGAAAATCAAAGACTTTTTTTGGAAAAAACAGAGAGCTGAGTTTGTAGGGCAAACTGACATCCTGAAATCCAGAGAAAGAGGAGTGAATCCAGAGTCACCATCAAAAACCTGCTTACCTGGAACAAAAGTCACTACAGCCAGTAAATAGTAGAAATACTTACCAAATGGTAATTTTGACAAACTGCTGAAGGCTGGGCATGGTCTAGCCTGAGGATCAGAAACTCCTGGGAGACATAGTTTTGAGGATACCCTCATACTTTCAGGGTTTCACCTACCAGTGAAGAATCAAGAAAAATACCCTCATAGCTCTGGTAGAAGGAAAGAGAAAGTAACCACTGTAAAATAGGCCCAGAGCATTGTATAAAAACAGGCATACTCTCCAGGAGAAAAGCTTAATCAGAGTCTTTTCTAGCACAAGCATTTTCCAACTTCAGCCCCTTCTAGCCCACCTATCTCACATAAAAGAGAAAAGCTAAAAGATACCTTTTCATAGGTCACAGCCCAAGGACACAAATTCTTAAGTCACACAAGGCTGTGACTTAATCATAAGAGTACAGAATGATTCCCTCCCTCCATACTTCATCACGCATCAATAGGGCTCCAGGATAAGAGTGGAAAATTACATTTAAAAGAACTGCAAGATACAAACTCCAACTAAGGAAGAGTTCAAGATGTACAAATACCCTGGAGAAGGAAATGGCAACCCACTCCAGTATTCTTGCCTGGGAAATCCATGGACAAAGGAGCCTGGTGGGCTACAGTCCATGGGGTCGCAAAAGAGTCAAGACATGACTTAGTGAAACTTTTCTAATGGCAAAAAAACACACATAACACTAGTATTTGCTATCCTAACCACTTCAAGCATACAATCCCCCAGTATAAAATATATTTACATTGTTAAGGAACATATTTCTAAAACTTTATCATCTTAAAAGCTAAAACTCTAAAGCTATTAAATACTCATACCCCTGCCCTTGGCAACCACCTTTCCACTTCCTGTTTATATGATTTTTGACTATCTTATATACTTCACGTAAGTGGATTCATATCGGTATGAGTAAAAGAACAGTATTTGTCCTTTTGTGACTGGCTTGCTTTGTCATCATAATGTCCTCAAGGGTCATCCACACTGTACCATATGACAAGATTTCCTTCCTTTTTGAGGTTGTGTAATATTACATCATAGGTATGTGCCACATTTTCTCTATCTATTCGTC